AGTGAGATTAAGATTCTGCAGAACCTGTCGGGTGGCGTGAACATCGTTCAATTGCTGGATGTGGTGCGTGATCCGCAGTCCAAGACCCCCAGTCTCGTGACTGAGTATGTGAACAACACGGACTTCAAGACGCTGTACCCAACACTAAGCGACTTTGACATTCGCTACTACTTGTTCGAACTGCTGAAGGCTCTGGACTATTGCCACTCGAACGGCATCATGCATCGTGATGTCAAGCCACACAACGTCATGATTGATCACGAGAAGCGTCAGCTTCGTCTCATTGATTGGGGTCTCGCTGAGTTTTATCACCCGGGTCGCGAGTACAACGTGCGCGTGGCTAGTCGTTACTTCAAGGGACCAGAACTTCTGGTAGACATGCAGGAGTACGACTACTCGCTCGACATGTGGAGTCTGGGCTGCATGTTCGCGGCCATGATCTTCCGCAAGGAGCCGTTCTTCCATGGTCACGACAATTGCGACCAGTTGGTGAAGATCGCAAAGGTGAAGGGCACGGACGAGCTGTTTGACTACCTGACGACGTATGACTTGGAGCTGGACCCGCAGTACGACGGCATCCTGGGCACGCACACGAAGAAGCCGTGGGAGAAGTTTATCACACAAGAGAACAAGCACTTGGTGTCCCCTGAGGCCATCGACTTCCTGGACGGGCTACTGCGTTACGACCACCAGGAGCGACTAACCGCAAAAGAGGCCATGCAGCACGCGTACTTCCAGCCTGTGCGTGATGCAGCCGAGCAGAAGCTGCGTGGTGGCGCGCATCACACCGACGAGATCACCAGCGTATCCGACTCGAGTGCGTAAGTGCGCGGTGAAGGTCACAATCCCCTCGTTCTTCGGATAGGAAGAACATGAGAGAGAAGAGAGGCCAACGCTGCTGTGAGCATGATGTTGCCGCCGACGGAGCAGCGTGATGAAAGAGGAGCGAGTGGGGCCTAGATAACAGAGCGAGAACACAATACAAGGACATGTCACGCTCAGAATCAAGAACGCGGAGCGACAATCTTTCGCGGACGACGACAACTGGCGGGGCAGGATGGATACGTTTGCCTTCTTTGAATTTTGATGGCGCGATAGGAGGTGATAGCGTGAGTGCGGCGGTGTAACGTGTATACGAACTTTTTACATTTCCATACATCGTTTGGAGTATGCGTTTGTTCATTCGTTATTCCTTAGCATCCAGATCTTTGCGAATGGCTGCTCGGTCTCTAGAGAAGAACTGGTATGCGTACGTGCTGGGGTTGTCAGGCCGATTCCGTAAAATCCCGCGTACCAGAGCGCGCATGAGCTTGGATACGTCCGGGTGATCTCGCAGATATTGCTCGTTGTCCATGCGAATCATTACCTGTCCAAAAAACAGGAAATGAGCTCCACCACGACCTCAACATTTTCGTGCCAGCCAACACTGAACCTTCGCCTCATTGAGCGCCGATAGTTGCTGCGGTGTCAGCACCTGCATCTTCTCCACGGTCTCGCTTGTCTCCATGCTCGTAAAGTAGCTCTTCGATCACGTCGTTTCGGTGATAAGGTTGTTGTTGTATGTGGCGTACATCAACTACAACATACTCAGTTCAAGTGAAAATAGGACCGCTCGCCACCGCTCACTGGACACCGAGGGAGCACATCAAAAGCATCAGAACTTGTCAGCTCTGTGTATCTCGAGTCGAAGTATGTGGCGTGCGTGTCGTGTTGCTGCTCTCCGCCAGCTGCGCAGAGAAGCTGCTAGAGTACCTGTTGCCCGTGCACCGCTTGCGCTGCAGCAGCTGGGTGGTGTCAACTCCTACTTCACCAATATCGCCGGCGTGGACCGTGAGGTGCTACTCACTCGCTCGGCGCGCGACCTACGCAATGAGCTTGGAGACGCGCAGATCGGCGTGGTAGTGAAGGCACTTAAGGGCGAGCTCGCCGATGCCACAGCGCGCGAGGACGTGACCAGTGACGAGATCGTCGACTTGTTCATGGCGGCGCAGAAGACGCGCGCCATCTCTGTCATGCTGGACGCCTTCAACTTTCTTGATGCCAATTATCCGGCACACATCAACTTTGCAGTGTACGGCGAGATATTCCGCATCCTAACGCGCAAGAACAACGCCAAGCGCCTCATTGAGATCTACGAGACGGCCAAGCCGCGCTTCAAGGCGGTGCCTGAGATTATCTACCGCTTCGGCATTGTCGGATATTTGCAGAACGGCGACATGGACACATCCATCGATATTTGGCAGGAAATGACCGATGCTGGTCACGAGACGACCAACGAGATCACGTCGAGGCTCATGATGGCGTATGCTCGCAAGGGTGATGCTGAAAAAGTAATGGAGCTGTACGAGTCGGTGGACCCGCAGATCGGCTACTGGCACGAGTCGTGTATTGACCGGATTATCCTCAGCATGGGTATCATCGAGCACCCTGCCAAGGCTTTCGAGTTCTACAGCAACTCGAGCATGAAGCTGAGCGGCGGCACGTTGATTGCTCTTCTGAGCGTGTGCAACAGCAACAACTGCAAGCAGCAGGCGTCGGATATCCTGGCGAATCGTAAGAAGTTCGATCTGCTCTTGGATGCTCGTGGCTACAACCGCATTATGATGACGCTGGAATTCCTCGAGCGCAACGACGAGATCAAGGAAATTTTGGAGGAAATGGTCGAGAACAACGTGCGTTTTGACACCCGAACGAACAACATTATCGAGCGCAACGCTGAATACCTCAAGGATACCACCTTTGTCGCTGATCCCAACAAGAGCAAAGCTGCAGGCTTCACTCTAAGCCCACGAATTCGCGAGATGCTTGCTCAGGGTAACACAAAGGCAGCGGCGGAGTTGGTGGATTCCATTGCGAAACCCGTGGAAAAGTCGCAATTGCCTGAAGATTTTGAAGGTGAAATTCCTGACGACGCGTTGATTGTGAGTCCTTCTGTGGCGAGAGATGCTGTGCGAGTGTACATCAAGACGAACCAGCACGACAAGGTGGCTGCTTTGGTCAAGGGTTTCTCCGTGGTGCGCGGCAAGTACGCCTACGCTCTGGCTGAAGTGATCACTCATTACCTGAAGCTGAGAAACAAGACGGGAGACGAGCTCAGTTATGCTGCTAG